TGGTATCGTCCCACAGTACACCATGTCGGGTACACCCAGCATGAATGGTGTTGCTAAAAGACGAAACAGGACACTTAAGGACATGTTAAGGAGCACGATTAGTCATTCTTTACCTGAATCACTTTGGGGAGAAGCATTAAAAACTGCAATGTATATCCTTAACAGAGTACCCAACAAAGCAGTAACTAAAACCCCATATGAGTTGTGGACTGGGAAAAAGCCCAGCATAAGGCACCTACACATTTGGGGATGTCCAGCTGAAGCGAGGCCTTATAGGTCCAACGAAAGGAAATTGGACTCTAGGACATTTAGCTGTTACTTTGTTGGATACGCGGAACGTTCTTGAGGGTTCAAGTTCTATGATCCCACTACTCGCTCCTTCTTTGAGACGGAAAATGCGAGATTTCTTGAAGATGTTGAGTTTGGAGGGGAAGAATTAAAGAACGTCTCTTTTGACGAAACAGTTGTCTTGCAAGAAGAAAAATTTATTTTTCTTTCTGATATTATTATCGACAGTGATCAGACAACATTCCTGACACTGTTCATGAAGCGATTCCGATTCAAGACAACAATGAAGTTCCTTCTATAGAGCAAACTCAACAACCTCAAGAAGTGCCATTAAGGAGATGAAATCCATGAAAGACAATGACATTTGGGATCTTGCCAAGTTGCCTGAAGGCTCGAAACCCATTGGTTGCAAATGGATATTTAAAACCAAAAGGGATTCAAAAGGCAATGTGGAAAGATATAAGGCTCGTCTAGTCGCCAAAGGTTTCACTCAAAGGGAAGGCATTGATTATAAAGAGACATTTTCTCCAGTTTCTTCGAAGGATTCCTTTAGGACAATAATGACACTTGTAGCTCATTTTGATTTAGAGCTACATCAGATGAATGTAAAGACAACGTTTCTCAATGGAGACATTGATGAAATGATTTATATGGTTCAACCAGAAAACTTTGAATCCAAAGATTCAAAGTCTATGGTCTGCAAATTAAAGAAATCCATCTATGGTCTCAAACAAGCTTTTCGTCGATGGTATCACAAATTTCATCAAGTGATTACCTCATATGGTTTTGAGATAAATGTGGTAGATGATTGTGTATACCACAAGTTTAATGGGATCAGGTTTATCTTCCTGGTACTATATGTCGATGACATACTGCTGGCGAGTAACGATATAAGCTTGCTGCACGAAACCAAGAAATTTCTTACTAAGAATTTTGAGATGAAAGATCTTGGGGACGCCTCTTTTGTGCTAGGCATACAAATACTATGAGATCGCTCTCGAGGCGTTCTTGGATTGTCACAAAAGGGCTATATCGAAAAGGTGCTAAGCAGATTCGGCATGAAAAGTTGTTCGCCGGGTGATACGCCTGTGGCTAAAGGAGACAAGTTCAGTCTCAGTCAGTGCCCCAAAACAGACCTTGAAGTAAAGGAGATGCAAAAGGTTCCCTATGCCTTGGCTATAGGAAGTCTGATGTATGTTCAAGTTTGTACCCGTCCCGATATAGCATTTATAGTGGAACTGTTGGGCAGATATTTGAGTAACCCAGGACTGGATCATTGGAAAGCAACCAAACAGGTCATGCGGTATTTACACAGAACAAAGGACTTCATGTTAATCTACAGGAAATCCGACAGTTTGGAGATCATTGGGTATTCTGATTCTGATTTTGCGGGATGCCAAGACAGCAAACGATCCACTTCAGGCTATGTTTTCATGTTAGCTGGAGGAACTATATCTTGGAAAAGTGCCAAACAAACGTTCATAGCCCCTTCAACTATGGCAGCAGAGTTCATAGCTTGCTTTGAGGCATCCAATCATGGGATATGGCTGCGTAACTTTGTCACGGGGCTGCGAGTGGTTAATGGCATTGAAAGGYCATTAAAGTTATTGTGTGACAATAAATCTGCAATTCTGTATTCCAACAACAACAGAAGTTCTGTGAAGTCGAAACATATTGATATTAAATTTCTATCTGTTAAGGAAAGAATTCAGAGTTGTCAGATTTGCATAAAGCATATAGGGACAAACTCTATGATAGCGGATCCGTTGACCAAGGGATTGCCACCTAAGGTCTTTCATGAGCACACTGCTCGTATGGGTATAGGCATGTTTTATGATACCTTGATTTAGTGAGAGTTTTCTTTTCTTTTGCTCTTGGATGTACTATGGATTAAGGCATGTTTGCATGTCTACATTTACACATAATAAAGTTTATGACTCTTTTCATCATCTACATCTCTGAATATGTTTGTGATTTTGATTGATCTCTCTAAAGAATAAAGTTTAACCAGTTGGAAATAGGCATGTTTTGAGATCACATTGCATGTAATTTCCATGCCACTCATCCATACTTGATCTATGGCATTGAATGCATTGATATGGTGAGCATGAAAGGTTTAGTCACACATATAAGTGGCGAAAGCCGTCATGGTCTCATATTAGTACAGGAGATGGACCAGATTGAAACTAAGAAGAAATCTAAAGAAATTAGTATAAGAAGTGTACACATAAGGAATTCTTTCAATATAATTGTTTCAGTTCTCATATGTAACCCAAGTAGGAGATTGTTAGGTTTTAATCTCTGTTAAGTGGGCTTACATATTCAGTGAAACAATTGCATTGATGGGCTATCTTGTAAGTGGACTACATCAAGTGATTCATTTAAGCAAAACCCGTAGACTTCAACAAAAGGGTATGGGGCTTAATGAGTGGATACCACATTTTGGCCCATATAAGCTTAATGGGATCCTATTAGGTCAAAATATAAAGGCTCCTAGGTTATAGTTCCCAATATGTTAAATCATCTAGTCGCCCTCCTTGCTCTACCCCATTAGAGTCAAAAGAGCTGAAAAAACCTAAAGAATAAGGAAAATTTAACTGATGAAAACCACACCAGTCGACCAATCATTGATTCATCACTCATTCCGCAAGGGTTTCCACTACTGCGATGGGTATAGGTACGTACGTTTAAACCTCCTTGATAACTATAGCATGGGTGCAACATAACTTCTTGTTCTTCGTGCATGAATGGTATTGGTATGATTTTCCAAGTTTAGGATTGTTTGCTCCCCTTTACTTATTCTTACATGTTGAACTCCATTTCTGAAAGTAATGCAATTATAACCTAAACTTGTTAAATGTGAACCTCCATTTATAAGGCAAAGGATAGGTTGTCCTCTGTCCTTACTACACAAATCGGGTAATGCACATCCACTCCTCACCATATAAATCGAGAAAACGAAGGGGAGCTCCAGCCCCTACACCTTATCTCAGTTTAGAAAGACAGATGAAGAATGCTTTTCGGTTGAGAGAGAGAGAAAGAATATTAAGGTGGAGGCCCCGTTGAGATATTATTAAATAAGGAGAAAAACGCGTACCTGAAATCTAGCTTCTGACTTTTGTCTAAATTTCTTGGAACTCTGGACTGGAATCAATCTGAACCCTTCTTCTTCTTCGGTCGGTAACTTTACAACACACTCCTCCTTTGGTGGGGGCCTTTTCAATTCACTGAATAGAACCATAACTGATCAAGAAAACAGCCAATGGAACGGACAAAGATGAACCGAATGGAAACACAACTCATACCTTTTTCTGCCCTAGCTGGACTGCGAGGTCCCGAAATCCATCCAATCTGTCCCGTCACAGCGGACAACGATCGTAGGTGTCCCGTTTCCGAGCTGAGAAAGTGAGAAAGCTGGGTTTACTCAAATCTCTCTATTCGACGTCCCTTTTATATTTCCCGGTCTAAAACTCTAAAGCAGCGCCCTTGAAATTCTAAAAATAAACCAGATAAACAAGGAGGAGAAACGCAACCTTATGCCGGTCTCATAGTAGTGGCTTGTGTCATTACATAATCACCACCATCCAATTTCCATACTTTCCTTGCAACATCTTTCGATTAAATATTGATGAATCATAACCCTAGGATATTCCCATAAAAAAATCATTGGCCATGCATATATCCCTGTTCTTCCAGGGAGTAACGTATATGAAAATAGGACCCACTTTATCGTGCGCGGTCCATGGTATTGTATTATTGTTTCACCTATGTACTGTGTACAAACAAGTTTCTTATTCCAATCCACGTTGTTACCACGTGGCAAAATAACGGCCTTGGATGTATTCGTTTGGCTTCACGGCCCTACATTGAGGTAGATAAAATGACGTCAACATGGGGCCACGGAATGGCCGTAATTCACGCATAAGTGAGCTTGACTGACACTTGGCCTGGAGTTGGACACGCGCCAAATAGAAATAGACGTTGAGAACACCACGATACAAGCACGAGGGGAAACAAGACGAGTCCGCGTACAGGTTCGGGTTCACTGGACGCGTGAACCCGCCAATCTCTCCAAAAACGGGCTAACGTTAATGGACAGGCGGCCGTGAATTGGAGTGTGCGGTTGAACTGGCACAAAACGACAAAATGGCTGGCAGATTTAGAGGGAGAGGGATGTGCACGGTGAATAGAATCTACCGAGGGGAAGAAGAAGAAAGAGGAGAGTACCTGTCGGCGGCGGTAATAGCGTTGGGGGTATTGATCAGCGGCGGAGCTGGAGGCATTGGTGGTGGTGTTAGGTTAGGTTTGAAGTTTGAACAGACAGGAAGATGAGAGAAGATCGATGGTTTTTACTTTTTAGTTTTCTTTTCTTTGGCTGGGTTGGGAACTTGGGAGTTGCGAGTTGGGATCATTGGACCTAAGGGCCTATGTGGCCCAAAAAGACATTTTTTTGTCTTTTTGCGCTTAATGTGAAAATGGAGAAAAAATGGTCGGTTATACAAAACCGGGACCGGTTCTACAATTCGTCGATTGAACTGGTTAGGTGGTCGGTTATTTATGATTTTTTACATACCGGTTTTGGGGGTATATCCGGACTGGCCAAGGGGCAGCCAGATCACGGTCCAACCAATTCAACCAGACAGTCCGTTCAGAACATTGGTTGTTACAAATTCAATGTTAAGGTTATTTGAATTTTTATGATCTAATACAGAAACTATGAGAAAAAGGATAAACCTGATATCAGTTTGCTGATTTCCTGGATTGCCTGTGTAACTGTTGACTTAAATGTGATTTTCTGATTGCACTTGCCAACTCTAGATGAACATATGATACTTTTTGGATCAATAGCAAATATGGGATAGCACCCTTATGCAATGTTCGTCCCCAGCTATCTGGATGTTTGGGAGTATAGGACTGGAAAATGGCCTGAAGAAGCTACAAACATTAGACGGATTCACTCACCTTTTGTAAAAGAAGAAGAAGAAAAAGAGGAGGAGGAGGATGCCAGACAACGAACCGGTGTCGGAGTCTCGCAGCCAATGGATGATGGCTGATGAATGATGGCCGGTGTGGTGTGATCGTTGATGTGTTGGGATAGGAGGGTTTAGTGGAGGAGAAAAGAGAAAATGGGAGGCAAGGTTCGAAAGAGGGGTAGGGCTGTTCACGGGCCGGGTTGGTCAGTTTACTGATGTTTTTTCAACCAATCTAACCTGATCGGGTTACCTGAAATTGAAACCGAAATTGATCTTGTGTTAAGCAAAACCGACATGATCGGCTTGAGTCGGTTTGGATCGGTTTTGGCTCTACTTAGTGGTAACTTAGTTGTTGTTCAAGTGTTCATTTCTGGCTCTACATTCCCAAATGAAACCAGCATTTCCTTAATGTTTTGTGGCCCATCCATGAATCCAGTTGTGGAGGGAGCAGAGTTTGAGAGACAACTTAGTTAAGTAGGTTGTAACTAGGATAGAGACAAGTTAGTTAAGTAGAAACTAAGTAGGTTGTAACTACTAACTACTAAGTTGGTTTGGATCGATTTTGGTTTTACACATGAAAACTGAAACCGAACCGAATCATCGGTTTATAATTTTTATAACCCGAAACCGACCGGTGCTGAGAAAAACCTGACCGACTCGGGTTGGTCGGTTTGATCGGGTCGGGTCTTCTTATGAACAGCCCTAGAGAGGGGTTTCAATTTAGATTTTGTCGTTTTATGCCAGTTCAACCGCACACTCCGGTTAATGGCCGCTTGCCCATTAACGTTACCCCATTTTTGCAGAAACAACATGGTCGTCTCTCATTGGTGGGTCCATGTGTCTAGAATGCGGACTCAAACAAGACTGATCTTCAATCTTCTTTCCTGCTGACCACAACACAATTCTGGTTAGTGGTGACGTTAATTCATTCACCCGTTTGTGTTTGTGGGATGAGAATTGAGAAGGAAAATTGTGGAATATAAGTCTCTTTTTGTGTGAAAAATTATGAGATAGGAAGTGAAAAAAAGGTGGATTATAGATTTCAATTCTTAAAATATAGAATACCACTGTTTTGTATCTCGGGGCGCAAGAAGTATATGTGACTATGCGAGATCGACAACTAGGGGCACAAGAAGAAGCACGGCCAGACCATCACATCCATCGATGATGACCTCTGGGGGTTCAGACCCCGCATGACGACGCCTTGGTCATCACGGCCGAGGTGGCCAACTACGAGATAAGACGGATCCTGGTTGACACGGGTAGCTCTGCCGATGTACTCTTCGATGATGCGTTTGAAAAGTTTGGAATCAACAAAGAGTGTCTTACCTCTGTCAACACTCCCCTAATGGGCTTCTTTGGGGAGTCCCTCCTGCCCATTGGGAGGATAACTCTTCCCCTACTGATTGGAGATGGTGACGTTACTGCGACGACCATGGTGGAATTCACTGTGGTTCATTACCCATCTTCGTACAACCTCATCTTTGGTAGGCCAACCCTTAATGCTGTACAAGCTGCAGTCTCCACATTCCATTTCGCTATGAAGTTCCCCACCAAATATGGTATAGGGGTAGCACGCGGAGATCAAAGAACTGCACGGCAGTGCTACCTACTCTCCTACTGAGGACCACGGTCGGTCGTAGAAACACTAATGACAAAAGCTTGTGACTTCCGAGATGAGGTGATGACACAATGCGGCCAACCTGTCGAAAACCTCATCCAAGTACCGCTTGACGAAGGAGACCCTGAGAGGACAGTCCAGGTCGGCTCTCTCTTATATGACCACCTTCGGGAAGAGCTTATACAGCTATTGAGAGACCACACCGATGTATTTGCCTGATCAACAGCAGATATGTCAGGGATCGACCCCGAAGACATCACACACCGTTTGAACGTTGACCCCTGTTACCGACCTGTCAAGCAGAGGAAGAGGAGTTTCACAACATAACAGTGGCAGGTAATTGTAGACGAAGTACAAAAGCTACTCGACGTCGGCTTCATTCGGGAGGTCAAGTATCCCGACTGGCTGGCTAATGTAGTAATGGTGAAAAAAGCCAACGGGAAGTGGAGAATATGCATCAATTTCACCGACCTAAACAAGGCCTACCCCAAAGACAGCTTTCCTCTACCAAGGATCGACCAACTTGTCGATGCAACGGCGGGCCATGAATTCCTGAGCTTTATGGATGCCTTCTCAGGGTACAATCAGATTCAATGCATCCCAATGACCAGGAGAAAACAACCTTTTATCACCAACTGCCGCTTGTATTGCTACAAGGTCATGCCCTTTGGCCTCAAGAACACCGGTGCCACTTACCAGTGGCTGGTGAATGAGGTGTTCAAAGATCAGCTCGGCCGAAACGTAGAGGCATATGTCGACGACATGCTAGTGAAGAGCAAGAAGGTCGAGCAATACCTTGCCGACCTAAAGGAAGTCTTCAATACCCTCGGGAAGTATAAGATGAAGCTAAACCCGACTAAATGTGCTTTTGGAGTCGGCTCGGGTAAATTCCTAGGGTTCATGGTGAGACAAAGGGGGATTGAGGCAAACATAGAGAAAATACAGGCCATCCTCGACATGCAATCCCCCCGAACCCACAAAGATGTACAACGGCTCGCCGGTAGAATAGCCATCGTTAATAGGTTCATGTCCAAATCTGCGAACCAATGTTTGCCCTTCTTCAAGGCCCTCAAACAACCGAAGGAGTTCCAATGGACCGAGAAATGTGAACTGTCCTTTCAAGAACTAAAGCAGTACGTAAGTTCTCCACCTCTCCTCACCAAGTCGAGCCTTGGGGATGAGCTATTGCTTTACCTCTCAGTCGGGGATGAGGTCGTCAGCTCGGTACTAGTCAAGGAGGAAGACCGGGTACAAAGGCCGATCTACTATACTTGTAAAGTCCTTAGCGGTGCTCGGTACTCCAACTTGGAGAAAATGGCTCTGGCTTTGGTTACCTCGGCCAGAAAGCTCAGACTGTACTTTTAGAACCACACTATTCGAGTGCTCACCGACCAGCCGCTTAGGCAAATCCTCCAAAGGTCGGAAGCATCTGGCCACTTGATCAAATGGAGTGTGGAGTTAAGTGAGTTCGATATCGAATATGCACCCCGACCTGCGATCAAAGCTCAGTCCCTAGCCGACTTCATTGTCAAATTCACATTCACCATCGAGGCATGCCCCGCTGCCACAAATATGGACCCTACACGTGGATGACTCATCCAATCAGTAAGGCAGCGGAGCTGGTCTTATTCTCCTTGGTCTGCATGACACGGTGTTAGAGCATGCCCTCAGGTTCGAGTTTAAAGCGTCCAACAACGAGGCTGAGTATGAGGCTTTGATCGTTGGGCTACGCCTCACCCTAGACCTGGGAGCTCAGAGAATAGAAGCCTTCAGTGACTCTCAGTTGGTAGTCAACCAGATCCACGAACAATTTCAGACGATAACGCCAACGATGGCAAGTTACCTACAGAAGGTGCAGGAGCTCATCCACCGACTTGAGCACTT